GACGTCGCTCTGGAGACACGGCCCTGACAGGGCTCTGCTGGGTGGTGGTCTGTCCTCTCTGTTGTCTCCAGATGTGTGTGGCAAAGCAAATTCAACTTCACTGAGCAGGTTTGTGTGCAAAATCAAACTGCTTAAATATGACGAGTTCCTCCAGTTGAGAGGTTTAAGGACAGCCACTGTTTAGTGATTCTACTTTCTCACATGTTTAGGTCCAGGACGCTGCTTCTCTTCCAGCCTCACAGAAGTGTTTTCCAGCATCACACACAGTAAAGTTTGGTAACTTACCTTCCAGGTGAATAAACAAGTGACTCAGTCATAATAACTGTCCTGTCTTTTGATCAAAACCTTGAGATTCCTGTAACTTCTCCTTATGACTGATTTTAAAAAAAGTATTTTTCTGGAGCATGACACTGCCAAACAAAAGACAGAGAAAACATTTTGATTTTTAAATACTTCCAAACTTGTACAGAGTTTGGTTGGTGGCAGAGCTACATGTGAAGATCCAGTGAGTTATCTTAGCTTAGCATAAAGACCCGTAACAGGATGGTGCAAATGTAATCCTGCTGTAAAGTTCCCCACCTAACATGCTGGGTACAGCTGTATTAAATCTGATGGCTGTGATCTGTGGACTGTGTTTCCTGGCTGGGAGCAGTGAACTTCCTGCAGTCTCAGCTAGTTCATGCCTCAGAACCAAGAAACAGTCCAGCACATGTAAAACCACCAGTGTTTTTTCTTTTAAACTCTTCAGTTTTTCTAAGGATTAAACAAACGAGATTTTAAGAGGTGGGTGGGTTTTGTTCCCTGTGGATAGAGTCAGGCTAGCTGATTCCCCCTGTTTCCAGTCTTTATGCTAAGCTAAGCTAATGGAAACCAACTGGCTACCGTCCATTCTTGGTGACGATCATCTCGTTGGTGATGTGCTGGAACCTCCTCCACAGCTCGGCATCCTCCAGCGTCACCCTCAGCTCCCTCTCCGTCGGGTCGCCCTTCTCCCGGCCGGCCTGCAGCTCGCTCTCCACCGCGCTCAGCAGCCGGGACATGCAGCGTTCGGCCGTGCCGGGGCTGCACACCGTCCCGTCGGGGCGCACGGCGCGCCGACGGTCCGGTCCGCAGAGGACACAGAACCAGACTCCCCGTTCTCCTGTAAGCCCTCCACCTTCATCTGGACACAAAAACATATTACCCGGTGAGGAAAAAGCAAACTTTGGGATTTCCAACAGAATATAAATCAAACGTCAAGCTTGTCCACATGGACTGAAGCTCTCTCTGCAGAGGTCTGTCTCTCAGATCTCTGACCTTTAGCTCAGGCTGTTTTCACACCATTTGGAAGCCGCACATGGGGCGTTTCACTCCGCATACAACGGAGAGAGGAGCTCAGTCAGAACGGGCTGTATCGACCCTGAGACAAGTCTCATCCCTTCACTATAAACACTTTGTAAAGCTTGATCAGAGACTTTGTTTGCAGATTAAAGATCAAACTCTTTATTTGCAAGCTTTGTGTTTTTGCATTTGTCAGCCCAAAGGAAAGAAGCTGCTGGCAGTGTAATGTAAGGATGTCCTCTGTTGGCTCCTACCGCCTTCAGACACTGAACACTTGTGGTTGGATCTGTATTAAAACACTCGTTTATTTTATGAAACTGCAGGTGAAACACTCCTGTTTATAATGTGTGCCATTTAAAATATGTTTATTTGCAGCGTTACTTTCCTCGGTGGCAGCATGTCCTGGTTTAAACCTTTTATCCCTTTAATGTTACTTTGTATTTTCTATATATTGCATCTTTATTTATTTAGAAAAGATCATAGAAACTTTTAGCCTGATTATATATCTGAGTGTCTGTGTGTGTGTGTGTGTGTGTGTGTGTGTGTGTGTGTGTGTGTGTGTGTGGTGTTAAATTATATTAGTTAATTCAAATAATTAGAGAAAAGCCTTTAAAAATCAAGGTTTTGGGGAAGAAAGTTTTGTTGTTTTTTTTTATTTAAATTTCCATTAGCAGTGATTTAAAGCAATGAATCCAAATCTATTGAAAATCTAATCAGCAACAATAACAATGCTTTTCACAGCTGGTCATTAATTATAATTGTCACAAATCTGTCATCATATTAACTTGTTGTGTTGTGAACATGTATCAACTACACTTCAGACATAATCAACAATAACTAATATAATTCACCCCAAAACTATGTTTTAATCCATTCTTGAAGTTTATTTTTGAGATGGCCATGTTATAATTTAATATTAATGTATCAGTCTGACAGATTTGGGGCAGACAATATCAACATTTAGCATAGTAGTAATTATTTGTAACAATAAGAGTTTCTGTCTTGTGCGTCCCTGCATCGTGTTTAAACACAACCGCACCTTAAAGCATCCAAACCTCCATTAAACTGATTAAAAATGACCTAATTAAACCATATTAGGGCTTCAATTTTATATCATTTTCATTTGTCTATTCTATTAATTGTCCTGTCTAAACTTGTTCTGGCACAAAGCAACTAAAATGCATGTGCACACTTCTCCTATTTATTAGATTATTAAATACACAGGCAAGCGTTTGTGCTTATCTATTATACTGGCAGCTTTTTGTAATTAAATAATGACATAATTGTGATCTCCCGGGGGCACAGGATTTCACGTCTGTGGATGAATTCAGAGGAAACGTTGAATTTACTGTTAAAACACTGCACTTTCAAACGCCGTGATCAAATTATTATTCAAATCCACAAAAACAATTGTTCAATTAAAGCTAAAGTATAAAAAAAACTACTACAGACACAACATAAAACTAAAATGCCCCAAATAAAAAGCAATAATATTAGTACAACTTTTTATCACTTTCGGTTGTCTAATAAAATTCATATCAGCAATAATATGTTGTACTTAATTTCTACCGAGGTCCCTACAACGAATATTAAGTATCTGTTCATGAATAATAAATGTGCAGGTAAAGTCAGACTTACTTGTGACACACGTGCTGAGAAGGTGAAATAATCCCTAAAAACTGAGGACAAGGTTTTAATGAAGACTGATGAGTATAGAGTTTGTGATGTGAAGCTGCTCAGCCTGTGACTGAACATATCAGAAACAAGTCAGTCTGGCTACAGCTCGCTCAACCTCTCTCTCTCTCTGCCTCACACGCACATCGGTTACCTCGCTCGACCACTCGACTTCAGGTCCACCGGAGCTTTATTGGCCTGTAATTTTCAACCACTAACGTGGAGCCAAAGCAAACGTGAATTAACAAACACATCAGGCTAAAGAAACAATACAAAGAGGATGAAGTGAAAAGGTCAGTCTGGGATCTGCTCATTTTAACCACGTCCACGCTGAGCTACACCGCGCTACACTCAGCTACACTCAGCTACACTCAGCTACACTCAGCGACACTGAGCGACACTCAGCTCTCTCGGACGAAATGTGAGATTTGTGTAAACTGAGAAAACGCACCGTCCTGCTTTAACAACTTTGAGGGGAACTCGTTTAGAAAAGTCTCCCTAAAAGAGAAAAGTTCTGGGGGAAAATCTAAAGTCAAATATGTGTTTACATTGGCCCTAATCCTCTTCCGTAGCTTTGACTAATCAATGAATCAGCTTGAAACGATTCATTGATTTGGACCAAACACACCAGGCTTTAATAAAAACCAGAATGAGCGTGAAGCTCCCTGCTGAGGGGCTAAATCTCGTATGACAGTGTTGATGAAAAACACCACAAGCTGCTCGGAGCAGCGTGTAACGGAGAACAGGTCAAAGAGAGAGAGAACAGAGATACACGATAGCTGGAGTGTGTTTTAATCAGCGGAGGTGGACGCGGAGATTAGCGGCTTTAGAGACTTGACAGGCAGAAAGACGAGACGAGCTGTGCAGGTAGCACACCAGGTAACACACAACACACCGACGACAACTTGTAGCTGGTGAAGAAATTAACGTTCGTTCTCCAACTCAAATCTGTCAGAAGTACTCGGATTATTGACTGAAGTAAAAGTAGCTCTACTACACTGTGAAAATACTCCAGTACAAGTACCGCATTTCTTACTTCAGTAAAAATATGCAGTGGTGGAAGAAGTACTCTGATTATTTACTTATATACAGTGGGTACGGAAAGTATTCAGACCCCCTTAAATTTTTCACTCTTT